ACATCTCATTATCGAAATCAATATTCATTAATCCATTGTGTACAAACAAAATCAAAAATGGCAACTGTTTTTTTATACATTGAAATTTGACAAAGTAAATTACAGAAAATGCAGAGCTGGGAATGCTAATTTGAAATGAGGTTACCTTTATTTCATTGTACCATGGTACAAAGTTTCTCGTAGTGTGTCTAAAGGTAATTGCGGCGATAAAATCAGTAAATATTTATTTATTGTCGTGAATTGCAAATTATTTTGGCTTTGTTATTATATAAAGTATTTTAATTCAACAAATACTGGAAGTGTTCTTACTGCAATTCATTTGGATAATGTTTTTATGTATTTGTGTGCAGAGTATTCATTTATCAAACACTATTTCTAAATTTCGGTTTAAGAAGTCTTATTTAAAAAATGGTATTTTTCAAATATATGCTGGAAATGGTGTAGCCTATACATCAAAAATATTATTTATAAAAATCTGTCTATTTGTAATATAGACTCGAATGGCGGTGTCCATACAACGCCATTGTGGCATATACAAAGATAACTACTTTATGCCCATATCTTTTGGATTGTATGTGGAAACGAGTTTGAAAAGTCATTGACTCCTTAGTGTCTGTTTTTTATTGTTTTACAACACTTTTATTTTATTTGTGCCGATAACGACAGTAACAACAACTTTGTCAACATATTATAAAAACAATATGAAAAAGTGTTTCCATATTTTAAAGTGCGTAACTGGGGGATGGTTACACCTTAATTTTCTGGAATTCAATATATAAACAATAATAAAAAGTATGAAGAATAATTGTATTACTTTGTGAAGAGGCTTTACGATAGCCCGCAACAATATTTGATATAATTATCTTTCAAAAATGCCTATCAGTTTCTCAACTCATAAAATACTTGCATATTATATGCAGGGATATGTTTGAGAATCACCGCCGTTCAGACAACAAATTTTTAAACCTGTTAAAAATTATCATTTGGAATGAAGTCTGGGTCTATCGCAGTCTCCTGCTTAAGATTTTTGAATTCAGAATGTAGTGTGGTTAAAATACATGAGTCATCATGTTGAATTAAAATTCAAATATCTAGTGGATCCCCGTAGAAATTTATTCAAAACAATGAATGCTACGTAACAAATCGGGGATTTACTTTCGTTATTTTCAAATTAAGTTATTAAGTAATTATTAATCATATAATCATATTAAGCTTATTGCAAATGTTATACAAAAAAATAATTACAAAATAAACTATAAAGGAATCATATGATTGGCGATCGGGTCACAAGTTATGGATAGGTATTTGTGCTCTGTAAAAACTTTTTTTTTAATTTAATTAAGAGAATTAAAATAAATAACATTAAACGTTAATCATTTGAAACGATAAAAAATCAGAAATATTTCTTTAAGTAATCATTCTTGAAGTCATATAATCTCAATGACTATTGACCAATTTCTCTCAACCTTTGCTCCATTGATTGATATTTGCATGCAAATCAGAACTTTTCCAATTAGCAAAACTTGTTTTCGATTAAAACAACACGTAAACGTATAAAACATATCTTCCAGACCCCAAATGCATAAATAGTATAGCAGACGATAAATGATAAATATTCAACAGGTTAATCCAAACAATTAGTTAGTTTATAATACTTTAACCAGAAATTCATGATTTTCTAATTTGCTATTTTTAATAATAAATTTTTAATAAAAAAAAATAATAATAATAGGATGTCTTAAAATTGTGAAAGTAAATACATCATAAATGTAAAGTATATGTGAACTAGTATTTCTGTGTCGTATTTGTAATTCTCCAACTTGAAATAAAAATGTATGTACCAATAAGGTTTCACAGAGTATTTAAGTTTTAAATAGCCACTTTCCGTCGAAACTTTATATTTTCAACAGCCGTCATCAGGTCAATTCCTTTGAAAGCAGAACGTCTTATAATCTTTGATGGGTTTTCCATCGAATCGACCTCCTTACATCTGGGATCTTACTTCATGTAACTCTTAAACATTGAAAACTTTATATTTTTTTTGTGCAATCCAAGGTTCCCAATTTTTTTACAATTTATGACAACATATCTTGGTCACAATTCAGAGATTGAAACTTGTTTTCAATGTAGTTGTATTTGTCAGAATTGAAGGTAGATTACAGAAAATGCAGAGCTGGATATTATTCGAAATAAAGCTAACTTGAATTAATTGTACCATGGTTAAAACTGAATTTGAAATAGTTTCATGTTGTTTTCTTTGTAATTCAAAATAATAGACATACATAAATACATATATAACCTAAGTATGCAATGTAATGTGTTGAGACAAAAAGAAAAAAAATGGATTTAAGTAGCAGCTTTTTTCAACCTCCTTTCTTCTTTTTACATCGTAATGGAACAATTTTCTAAAAATGAAACGCCTCCTTTCCTACATTTCAGAATGTATCCTTCTATAGAATAGAACATATACTATATGTACAATGTATACAATAACTAATTTTTTGAATATATTCTCAAAAGTGTTTTTTTATTTTAAATTACAATTCTTGCGGTTATAGTTTTATTCAAATGGCGGCCTCGGTAGCCTACACCATTGGTCCAATTAAGCACAGTATCGACCGTATTTCACCAATGGTTTCAGGAATATTGTCCTTTTGAGCGTCAATTGTCTCTGGCTTGTTGGTGTAACACTTATTTTTGACGACACCCCTGGCCTCGGTTGGCCATGCAGTAGCCTACAGCATTGGTCCCATTTTTAAGCACAGTATCGACCGTATTTCACCAATGGTTTCAGGAATATTGTCCTTTTGAGCATCAATTGTCTCTGGCTTCTTGGCGTAGAACTTATTTTTGATGACTTAGCCCGGTTTTGTCAACCGATATTAGCTATGCGGGTGATAACATACACAAATGAAGTTATAGACAACGAAAAGTTATTTTTGTATTTTTATCCAGGTAGCTCTCATCATGTTTTGCATAGTCAACGAGCTGATTTACGCGTTCAACCCACTCGACTTCGAAAACACATTTTATCGTTTTTCAAGAATTTCACTGGAATATTCCCACATTTTTCGATGTCACTACGTAGTTTTCACTTATCTTTTATTATGGAGGAATTTTCAACTGACAAATAACCTACAGTTTTTGTTATTTTTAATGTTTTAGAACTGAGTGACTTCAATATTTCCACTCAAATCCCTGAAACGATATAGACGACATCTGCTGATCCGATTTTTTCGAAGATAAACGGTGAGAGCATTTCGTTGTCTATATCATAGACAAATAAAGGTATAGACTAAAAAGTTGTCTCATCTGATATCTTCGAAAAAAGTGCTTCAATAGATGTCGTTCATGCTGTGAGAGAGCATAAGTCTATTCACTCAAGTCTCCCAAAATACGAAATATTGAATATTTTTTTCAATTAATATTATTTATCAATTGAATTAACCAACTGACATAAACCAACTATGTCGTGAAATATAAAAAATAGAACTTAAATAGCAGAAAAATGAATAGATTGTTTTCGAAGTCGAGTGACTTCACTAGCCCTGAGTGAGTTTACTGGCCCCAGATCGACCATAGTGACATCTGCCCGAAGGGGTAAATTTTAGAACTTTTTAGTCTATACCTTTATTTGTCTATGGTCTATATCTTCATTTGTCTATAGTGATAATGCCATCCTCGAAAACAGAGAGCGAAATATTGAGTGCAGCTTCGGAGGCGCGGCACGTGGTGCCGTTCTTTTGAAACCAAGTGTTATCCTTCCTTTCAGTTTTTTTCAAGAAACATTCGTTCAACACGGCCCGATTATCTAACGGTCATTTCTTTCTGATTTTTGAAGAAAAATTACCCAATTATGGATACTTCGGCTTCTCAATGTATGAGTGCGGAATTTCTGTGCCCCAAAGCTTACATACGCAGCTTACGATGCTACTTTCCCTCCAAAATTCGCAAAATACGCAAATTTTGAAAAAAATGTTGCTACATTACCATGACTTCCAAAGTAATGTCGAAATATTTGCCAGCATTGTTTAAGCGTTACACAACCACATTCGTTCAGCGGAAGGATAACATTAATTGTTGCTACTATTCAAATCGATCCTGATTTATGTATAGCTTGCATTTTGCATTTGGTATGAGATATCGATTAGATACAAGTCTGTAATTACCTCTGCCAAATGTTTAATTTCGCTTTATATTTCTTTTATAGATCCAATATATAAGTTTCTTCCGAATTCGTATGGAATGTAAATATTACTTTTTTATTTTAAATGTAATAAATTAATAAATACAGTTGAACATGTCCACCCTCTAATAGATTAGATAATTTGCAATATAATCAAAATCAGTTGGTTGTCCATAATTTATTTTTTAAAAAACATTGATTTTTACTCAATAATTATTTACATAAATATGTCTGTATATATGATATCTATAACTTATAATTAATTAATTAAACACAATAAACACAATCCTTTCGATTCCATATTCCACAGAGGAGATACAAACGACGAAAGTATAATATAAAAGCGGAGTTTCTTAAAACTAATAATAACGGCACAATGAACAAAACAAAAACGCAAAACTTAATCTTTGGCATAAAAAAAAACAAAAGTTACAGCTAAGAGACTACATTTTTAAAATTTAATACAGTTGAGGTTACAGTTTCATATATCTGCACATGGAGTTTTGTTTAAAACCTATACAGCGGATAGCCGGCACTTTAAGGTTGTGTTAATGTTGTGATACTTGTTTCAGTATATCATCGATATGTTACTAAGTCTTTTTGTTTAGTTTCTGTTTTTTTTTAAGTAAACATAATCAATATTTTTATAAAAATACAAAAAATAATACTTTTTTAAGTGGGGATTTTCGCTTGTCTCAGCTCAAATAGAATTTAACCTTTAAATGTGGCGTGGCATTGCCAGGTGTGTTCTGGCCACTGCCACCATTACTTGTACAATTGCTTCTGGGCAAAAACGGTGTAGATTCATTATTACCTTCCAAGCGACGCAGCAGACGATCTTGATCGGACTCCTTGGGTGTGGTGGGCATTTCCCGTTTCGGTGAGTGTATTCCAGCCAAATTCGGTTTCGTGCTGATACGATTCAATTTGGTCGGTTGATGATCCTGGAATATCTGCGAATTGGCAAAGACAGCAAGTATCTCAGGTCCCAGCATGGGTACATTTGTCTGCGTTTCTCGTCGATAATCTTCTTCGTGAATTTTGGCATTACTGTGTAAATGATTTGGTCAAATAGGCGAAATGTTAAAAAAATGGTATAAACAAATTAATCAATATGATGCGATGGCGATGGAAAAGTAAAGAAAAACAAACTTGTCAGTTATTCATTCTTTGTGTACATAATCAAAGCCATAATTATTAAGATAACTCAGTTTTGTGTGTAAAATTTCCATTAATACCTGAATAATCCCGATGAATGCCCCCTGCGCAACGGCTGATCAATAATGATTGAGGGCACTGTTACATTGTTGTTGTCCGCTGGCTGTATACGCCCCAGTACACTGCCATTCTTTTTTGAGGCAAGATATTCTTCATCATCGTCTGGATTATAATTGGCTGAAGGTAAGACGAAAAAAAAAATAAAATAAATTAATATTTGCATTAAAAGTTATATCAAAAATGATGATTGATGAATATCATTATTTGCAATATGATTTAATGCTATTTATACGATTTTTGGTTAGTGTTGTGTAGCTTTTATTGTCATACAGGAGAAAATTCAGAGGAGTTCATAGAAGCTTAATGCAGATTTCAAAAGTTTATTATATCGCATATTGACGAAAATATGAAAAATATATATATAAATATGAGTTCCAAAAATTGGGTTTGCCCTACAATATACGACAGCAACATATGCATTACCAGAAAGCCAACAAATATTGTGCTAATCCTATAAAATTTAAAAAGCAAAATAAGTTCTATCTTACGAAGTAATGAGTTACGACAGAGTGTACATGTATGAGTGCCCCAGCAAAATATCTCATTACCAAATGAAGGGAGGGAAGAGTACATATTGATAACAGTGACTGCTTACAAAACTGCATCCTTACCCCTCCAGATATTCGGCATTTAGACGATTGTAGCCACAGTTTTCCACGGAATTGTTCCAAACTTAGTATTAGGAATTTGTAATGGGTTTTACCTCTGGTGGCAGAACATCACTCCACGTTTTACAGTGGCCCACATATAACAGTACGGCCAGATTTTGGGTATTTTGTTGCTCTTAGCTTTCACGGAATTTTTCTAAATTTAGTATTTGGAATTGGTAACGGGTACTTCATCTGGTGACATAATATTGTAAATACATGCCTGCGTTTTCCTTTAGCGGCCATCTAACAGAAAACTGTCAGCGCAGGTTCACGTCTTCGTATATCCTTTATATAACGGTACCTCCCAATATTCGGTATTTTCATAATTTTAGCGACATTATTCTCCGGAATTGCTTCAATTTGGGTATTTGAAGTCCGTAATGAATATTACAGCCCAGAACAGAATATTGTCTGTGGAGGTCCACGTCTTCGTATAGCCCTCATATAACGGTCCCTCCCGATATTCGGTATTTTGATGATTGTAGCGACATTATTTTAAGTTCGTAATGGAAACTACATTCTAAGACAGAAAATTGAAAGGTCAACGTCTTCATATAGAGCCCATGTAACGGTACCTCCCTATTTTTGGTATTTTGGTGATATAAGCGACACTTTCACCGGAATTGTTTCAAATTTGGTACTTGAAGTTCGAAATGGATACTTCACCCTATGACAGAAAATTGTCCGTGCAGGTCCACGTCTTCGTATAGCCCCAATGTAACGATACCTCCCTACATTCGGTATTTTAATGATTTTAGCGACATTATTCACCGGAATTGTTTTAAATTTGGTATTTGAAGTTCGTAATGGAAACTACAGCCTGTAACAGAAAATTGTCTGTGCAGATCCACGTTTTGTTATAGCGCCCACATAATAGTACTTCCCTATATTCGGTATTTTGATGATTTTAGCTACATTATTCACAAATCTTTTTTCAAGTTTCGCATTTGAGTATTGTAATAGCTTATGACAAAAGTTGCCTATGTAGGTCCTCGTCGTCATGTATACCCTAATATAATGCTACATTCAATATGTTTAAGATTTTAACAGAATTTTTAACGGATTTTATTTTTTTTTTTTTTTTGGAAATTGCCAAATTCGCTCCAAATGGTAGAGGGTATTGAAAGTTCCGCCCGGTCGAACTGACATCTTTTTTACTTGGTTTTTATTAAATCAAATGCCAATTGAAGATTTGAATAGGGGAAGTATTTTTGTTTCCATTTTTTCATGACGAAGAATTTAGCCCCAGGATTCCTAATTTTGTAATTGGAGTCACTGCTGTCGCTTTTGGCTAAAGAAAGGTTTGGTTTGTATCGCATTTGTGTCACATTCATGTCATGTGAAATCAAATTTTTCAATATTCATTTATGATTTACATATGTTCTCATTTTTTAGATGACAATTTTTGGTGGAGTTTGAATAGGCGATTGTTTTTTAGCATCACTTATTTCTGTTAAAAATAAAAAGTAGTACTGATTCACTAACAATATTCTATCAAATTTTTGATTTGAAGTCTAAGTAAAAATTTTAATCACGTACAATCTCTATTAATGCGATGCTCTTAAACAGTATGAGATTGGAATGTATTTAAGGTAATATATTATATTGATATTCGTTATTTTTATTGATTTTCAGTCAATCATTTTCATAGGTCAGTGTACATCCAAATGATTTTTTTTAAATCTACTGCTGTTGCATAGCAAAAAAATGGTAAACAACAAAAAGTAGAAAACAAAGAGAGTTATTGTAAAATTTCCTAGCAATGATATATCATTATTATCGGCATGTTATTACGCATTATAAATGAAGAAAGCCGTTATTACTCATTCGGTGCCGTATTTGCCTCAAGGGTGTGCATTTATATGCAAAACATGCAGATATTTTCTTTCTCTCTTACATTGTATCTTTTGATAATAAAACAGAAAAAAATATTATTTTGCCATATGAAATTTACTGTTGCAGAATAACTCTTATCAAATTAAAAAATAAACGTTTGTCGCCTAAAACTAAGGAACGAAGAAAATATTGAAAATATGACACACATTTTCCGCCTAAAACTGGATAGAGAATTTAAATATTTGATTTTTTCAATTTCTGTCTTATCTAAGCGTCAACGTGTTAGCAATAAAAAACAATGACTGGAAATGTCATTAACAAAAGTACAAAAGTTGATTGATTTGGGATATTTACTATTGAAATAGACGTCAGTTTAGAAATATTTATGACTAATGAAATGTGTTTTATCGCATTTACAGTAATTGTTATTTATTCGTAATGAAAAAATCACCATATATAATTGACATGATGGTCAAGGACGTCATCGATAGTTTTGCGTCTTTTAAGCCAGTGGGCCAGATACTGTCTTTTCAACCATACTCTAAAAGGGAGGTGAACAACAATTCGCCCAAATATGGTTTGATTAAAATAAGCGTACACTTCCATAAGCGATAATGGTGGCCAAGAAGCATCTCTTTTATAGATTACTGCTATTAAAATTCTCCTGAGGAATAAAATTGCAATTTACTACGACTTTAAGCCAAAAGGCACTAAATATCAAAATTAGGTTAGTCTAATAGCTTTTAACGTAGTAGACAAGAAATTGACACTTTTTTCATACTCGCGGCAAGTATTTTTATAATTGCACTGTGTGTCTTAATATGTCTGGGTTGTGGGAGCTCCAAGTGTATTTGAAAGTACATCGTAGATCTAAGCCCCAGAAGAGTTTCGAGCTCTTAAGTCAAGCCCTTTTGAACCCATTTTCAATACTAATGATTCTGGATGTAATCCAAAGATGTCTTTTAAATTGAAAAACTCTATCCTAAATATGTATTATATCTATATCTAAAATTCTATGGGTACCTTTGTATAAAGTCGAAACTATAGGACCTTAAGCATGTTTGACACTAGAACCCAAAACTCCTTTTAGGTTTTTATATAAAAATGAGCAAATTGGGAAAATTTTCAAAAATATACAGAAGTAAACAAAGTTTTTTATTAACAAAAATTGATGTTTTTTGGAACATATTAAGTATACAAATTTCTTTTGTTCAGAGACTCGCAGTAAAATTTGATCTAGAATGATTTTGACTTTATGATACTCTACAGAATTTACACATACCAACTATGATCGTTTTTGAATGCGTGTTATGGCTTTATAGCAAGTATAATCAAAAGCCGAAAGGAACTAATATACAGGGTGAGATAAAAAAAACTGCAACAAAGACAAACGCCATAATTTTTACATTTTTTTTCTAATTTTTTTAAATGAAAGCAAAAAATGTCGGAAATAGCATTAACTTTTAGATTTAGATTTATTCGAATTGGTCAACTTGGCACGAATTATGGCCTTCAAGCGGCCAATTAAACCGTCCCACGCTGCCCGAATGTTGCTCTGCGGTATTTGGCCCATTCCCGGCGAAGCGCTTATTTGAGGTGATCGACACTTTGGTATTTACACAATAGTCCAACAGATTGGTATCCGGAGATTTTGGTGGCTGTTGTGCGCTGCAAATGAAGCAAGTCTTGAGTCTATTTTCTTTCTGATGTGGTGTAAGTTCTTGCACTTTTTGGAATTTCGATGGCTTTACTCCGAGCTCATTTTTCAATATTTGCCGAATGGAATATTGCGATATGTTCAGCTCACGAGCCATTTTTCGGCCACTGCGACGCGGGTTTCGATCAAGTCGCTCCTATACTTTTCGAACCATTTCTGCTGATGTTGCCGTTTTCTTCCGTCTACTTCCTTCACGTCGGGCTACGCTACCAGTATCACGGTAACGAGCGATGGTATGAGACACAAAAGATTTATTCACCTTTAAATGCTGGAGTGCTCTAACGATAGCCACTTGTGGTTTTCCTGACAAATATAAAGAAATCATACAGTCACGCTTGAATTCCATCACGAATAACTTTTTTCTGGAATATTCTCACCAAAATGCCTTTGTGCGCTTGTAAACAATATAATGAGCTGTCACTGGAATAATTTTAACAGCTGTCGGACGAGCGGCTTAGAAATGACAGCAGTCTGAAGTTGGTTGCATTTTTTCATTTTACCCTGTAATTTGGTATCTAAAACCGATCAATAGATATGTGCATAAAAAACCTAAATATTTAGGAGGTACCTCCGATTCTGATGCTATATCTCAAGTTTAAAGAGGAATTTAACCAAATTATATAGTTATGCTGTAATATAATTGGAAGTTTTCAGGAAAATCTGTTTTACGGTTTAGAGGCTATAAATTACAAACAAAACATACAGTCAAATGTACAAACATTTCCGTCTTTTATAGATATAGTAGTTCAATAATATCTCTGAAGACACTATAAACCATGAATATTCCAGAGAATTTTAATTGTTATTCTGTTTAGGCCACTTTCAGACGTAAACTTTGAAAACGCCGCTACATGCCGAATATCGGGATGTTTTGTTATATGGGGCTATATAGGTCCAATGGCTGTTACCCATTT